GGAAGCAGCCCGTCAGCCGGAAAGTCCTTGCCACGAGGACAAATGCACTTCTCACCCAGGACTCACACAGGCATCAGGAGGACACCTTCCAGGGAGCTAGTGTCCTTCAATCGTCACAAACTGAGGCGCGTACCCCATCCTTCCTCATCAAGAACAAGTAAGGAGCACCGACTTGTTACTAAAGCACCTAATTGTGGAGAACTTTTCTGTTCATAAAATAGGAAATGCCAATGAACGGTATATTCATATAATCTGGGTTAATTATAATCTGTTTGCAGTCTTTATGGTCCAATTCAAGGTTATGATTTTTTTAAATGTTGGCTATTTACTCTGTCACCTACAAACTCATTAATTTCCACAGCCAATCAAAAAGACTTTACTTAACCTTTTGAGTTTCCCCTAATTACATAAGAAAAAACCAACACTAGCCAGTTTTCATTTTCAAATTTCTCTAATTTTAGACAAATCATTATGGCATCTCACTTTTACATTACAGTGCAGAACAGAGGACCTGAGAACTTTTTAAAATTTATTTACCACTGAATAAAATTTACCACCATTTAACTGAATATGGTTCATCACAAATATCATCCTACATGATGCCATTGCCAAGGGAGTGAAGAGCCACCTGTGGCTCTCGTGCCCTATGTTGCAAACCTCTGTTATGGGACAAACATGAAGTGTTCTGCTCTGGCAGCAGCAACTCCAGCTATCCCCTGTAGATGGCAGCAGCTCACACCTACCAACTTCTTGAGTGTAGAGGTGTTGTGCAGCTTCTGGCTGCTGTTGGAAAGGCCCACACATGGGCCATAAGGGGGGAGGGAGGTTAATTGATTGCCCAATTCAGCCATGATGGCGAACAAGTGCCGATAGCGGGTAATTTGCAGAGGTGGAGGCAGGCAGCGACACTGCTATCAAGCACTGGCACTGCTCTCCCTCCAGTAGATAAAAAGGAGCTAATGCATAATTATCCTTTTGCAAATTGGATTGTTCTAACGAACTGTAGAATATAGGCCTAACCTGATGGAAAGCAATCATTGTTTTTACAGCCCCCTCCCTCTTACCCTCTCTCTCCACTTGCCCCTCCAACTCTGCGGTCATTCCGCCTGTACCCTACACGCCTCATGCCCATCTTGGTGTAATCTCCTATACTCAATGGAGTCAGAAGACATTAGAAAAAGCCATCACTATTAACATTAGGTTTTATTTGTTCCCGTGGCTCTGTGTCTATCAGTCCACTCCTCATATTTGAAGTTACGCCTCCTTCTCTCTCTCCATTACTTCAGGTTTTTTTTTTCTTTCCCGAACAAACCTAAATGCCCTGTAGTAGGAACACATGCCTCACTAATTAAAGATGTAGCTCCCAGAATCAGAGGCACCAGGGAAAGGTGGAGCAGGGGTGAGTGCAGAGGAAGATGGAGTGCGCGGAGCCGCTCGTAGCCGTCTGTGCCTCCGATAAGAGGCGCTAATAAAGAGCAAATTGAATTACTAATGATGGGAAGCAGAGTCCCTATAGATGAGCCCGTTAACACTAACCTTATGACCACTCACACATGCATGATAATACACTCGCAAACAATGTTTCTTAATTTCCTCCTCAACGACCAGCTTCGGCCTCATCTCCTCACGCCGAGGTGAGGGGGAGGAGTGGGCCCAAGGCTGGGGGTGTTTTCTGAGGTGCTCGGTTATCTGCAGCTTAATTTAAAGAGGGCATAAACCTAAGTAAGCAGTTAAAGCTGTAATGAATCAAGAGGAGCTGTGTGTGTGTGTTTGTATGTATATATCTGTTTGCGTGTGTGTGTGCATTCACACCCAGAGAACAGCCATGTAGCCCCAGATAATCTAATAAAACAGATAAATGTCAGGATCGCGGGGAACAGAGAGGAAAGGATTGCTGAGCTGAGCGACTTCAGGCCTCGTGTGACAGACTTCTTTGGGCGTTTTAGGTCTCTATCTCACTCTGCTCTCATCCCTCCCTGATCGTCTCTCTTTCCACTCTCTCTATTTCTCTTTCTCTTTCTCTCTCTCTCTCTCTCTCTCTCTCTCTCTCTCTCTCTCTCTCTCTCTCTCTCTCTCTCTCGCTCCGACTTCCTCTCCGACTTCCTCTTCTCTTGCCTGTCACTTTAATAAACCAGCAAACTGCAGACAATTTTTAAAACAATACTTTACAGGGCTGGAGTTCACTATGGAGGCCTCTGAATTAAGTTGTTTGTGCAGAGCGTATGTTAAGTAAACTGTGGCAGCTTACTTTAGGTTTCCCATCATTCCATAGCCACGGTTCTTAACGTGAGTAAATCTGGAAAGGTGGTATCTGTGGCCACATCACTGTGTGGAGAACTGGTGTTCAGTGAAGGGAAAGATATTTTACTTTTTGCTTTTAGCAACTGTAGTTTATTTACAACAGCATATTAAAATGTTTATTCACAGTCAGTCATTACCAAAAGATCCACAGAGTTGACATTCTGTCAACACAAAAGAGTTTGGATATATTTATGTTCTGAGCATCAACAGACTGGTATTTTCACCTCTCACTCCTTTAGCCACTGATATGTGTCCACACCACACACTACCCCATGTGTACACGGATACTTTAAACTGTCTGGATCTATGTAGCGTAGTTTCCCAATGTTCAATGATGTGGATCAAATATCCATTACCTGTTGACAAAGAATAGTTTGAGAATATCAGACAACTTTTGGTATTGATCTCTACCTGCCTGCTATTAATTTATATTTAACTATTTTCTGGGATTTTTTAAAAAGGTTTTTGTTTGCCTTGTCAGGTTATTGTTTTACTTTTTTTTCAGACTTTACAGTTCAGAGAGTTTATTTTAATAATTACTACGTCATACTAAGTTAACATGTCCTTGTCAGTCTGTTTCTGTAGAATGGTGCTGACAGCCAATGATGGCTAAGGCAGCCTTTATACCCACGTTATCTTTGGGCTCCTGAAATGATGACGTTAGAAAATAAAAACGTGTATTTATTGCAGCCAGTACATATTTAATCTGAAATGTTACACCAAACACCTCTTCTTTTTTTTCTGGCGTTTCACTGGCACACCTCACATATTTGTGTATTTTAATTTTTTTATTTGCATCACCGTCCGTTCACACTTGCTCCTGTTTCTCCTACTTTTCCTTCACACCTGTGGCCACTGGTCCACTGCACTTCTAACTCTGCATCACACCCCAATTTTACCCACATGCAGTTTATATACAGTACTGTACATGCAGATACTTGTACACTTACAGGGATCAAGTGACAGTATATCATATTTGTATTTATTATATGCATTCATTTTCTCACATCCATTTATTGGGTAAATTATTTTAATGGTACCCTTGTGTGTGTGTGTGTGCGCGTGTGTGTGTGTGTCAATTGCATCAGCTGCTTCTCTACATACCAGTCCCCACATGCCATTCCATAGTGCTCTCACAGTATTATCAGTTCAACAAGGCACACATTTGCACCAGCAAGACATTAACTTAATAGAACATGGGCACACACACACACACACACACACACACACACATGCATTCTACTCATGCCTGTGCACTTTCTCAGGCTCCCTGTGTCAAACAGGTGGAGCACTTTTATTTTTTTTCACTTTCTTGTTTGAATTTCCTTTTTTTTTATTACTCTACCTTTTTAACGTCCCACAGACTCTATGTAATAACCATTGTCAGCACATTCCATAGCATATTATGGTTGATTCTGTTTGTGCAGTTTTCGTCTTGAAAGATTTGTGGGGGCAAACCTGTTCTGTCTCGGCTGGTCTTGGCACAAGAGAGCCTATATTTAAGCTGCGTACTGATTCGGTTGCATGAATGATTCGGTTTCTCTTATAGGATGGTGTTTTGTGCAGGATAGGCTGAGTATAGCTCTGCGCCATGGTGCACTGTAACATTTGGCATTTTGATTAACCTCAGGACCCAGAGATCTGCATCTGTGTTCAGTGACTGGACTCTGGTGGAGACCGAATGTCCACACGAGCCACTCCTCTGCCCCTCCTGCCCCCGTGAGTGTTGTAAGACCCCTCCTTCTTCCTCAGACTCTCATTAAACTGTCAACTGGCCATAATTAAAGTTCAGACTCATTTGAGATGTACATGCAGATGGACGTGTGTGGGTTTCCTGAGGACACCCAGAGAGTCGTCAACACTTGTAGTGCTTTGCTAAACCTGGTCGGGTGACGGGATTAGTTTCATTACACCAGGTTTTATTTACTACGCAATTTTGTTGTTTTTTGTTTTTTTTTTGCTGAACGAAACGTCACTTTATGTCATGTCCGATGAGCCTGTAAATGTGGCTTTTTGTTTCACCGAACTTAAATGGGACTTTATTGTGCTCTCATGAAGGGACGTTTTTTTATGCATCACAATCTACTTGGGAGCATGAGCGGCATGTGTTGAAATGTGTAATCAATACTATTGAGGACTGAAACTTTAGCCTGGGATGACTGTGACTCCTTTCCCAGTTAAGGAGGTAAATGTTTTCTTGGTATCCAGAGGAGTGGCCCGTCAACCAGGCTGCCTGTATAAATCAGAAACCTAACAGGACACAGGTGGAGACACGCTAATTATTTGAGAACACACAGCCTGGCAATGCAAGTGCCACTTGTGTGTGACAGCAGGCGCTGCTGCTGTCTTTAGCTATAAAAGTATTACTCCTATGATGGGGTGGGATGTGTCATCATTAATTAAGTAATATACGGTGACTCAAAGTACCTATAGGCCAATAAGAGGCCTGGGTCTTTGAATTGTACATTTGTTTGACACAGTAAGAAGAGCCACTCAGCCCCCATGTCATATGTAAGAGTTGAGAAATTACCAGACGAGGTCGGTGTCTCCATTGCTTTCATATAAATAATAACAAGTTCGGGAAATTAATTTAAGGAGCCGGGTCTAAAGGGAGAAATCTGGTGCAGCCTTGTATGTTTCAGTTAAAAATCAGGGATGATTGTGGACCCTGTCTGGACACCTGGTTCTAGCACCTACCTTCAGGGCTGCCCATGTGGAGCATTGAAGTAAAGCGTGTGTGTAAACTCGCTCAGGTACAAACCTCGTGCACTCTCTCTGTTTTATTTTTTTTTCCTATTGGCACAGATGTCATATGAGCTGTCATATAAGCATCGGTACCCAGCACTGCTGTACGTG